TCGTGGAGTGTCGCTGCAGAAAACCCTCCCTGGAGGTGTTCAAGGCCAGGTTGGACGGAGCCTTGAGTAGCCTGATCTAGTTGAGAGGCGTCCCTGCCCGTGACAGGGGGGTTGGACAAGATGATCTCTAAGGTCCCTTCCAGCGTAGGCCAGTCTAGGATTCTATGAATCATGGTACAAACACTTTTTAATTGGTAAAAATAAGTTCCCCAGGGTTGTTGTGGTACGACTGTTCTCCAGGGGCATTTCCATGTGCACAGATCTCAGCCTCTTCTTGGCTTTGCCAGAAATTTAAAGTTAAAAATTCCTTTTTTTCCATTGTGCTAGAGGGTTAGGAGCATTCGTGCCCCATCCTGTGCAACTTGGTACTTAAAACTACACGTACCGTAGCGTTTTGGAGCAGAGAAGGTGCCTCGTAGCTGTTGGAGATGTTGAACTTGCGCCGTCCGTCGTGGTGGTGTTTCTGAAACCACACCATGAGGAGTGAAATCCGTCACTTCTGTTCGGCAGTTTCAGAAGCCGGTGTAGCTTTCAAACGCCAAGTTTTGGTGCGCTGACTTAAACTGGAACCAGACAGTAATAAGATTTTTCCTGTTAGCATTCAACAAAATAAGATAGGGTCACCAGTTTGCTCTTTTCCAGCTTCTCCTTTTTAACCTTTTGTGATACATTTACTTTTATTAGGAACGCTTGGTACAAAATGCAGAAAGCTGCAAGTATGTTCATGGGCAAAATGATTCAAGTAGCATCTTTGATGGAACATCATTTACCTCAGATACTCAACCAGCAGTACTTTTTTTTGTTGTTGTTTTTCTTTTTTTTTTTTTAATGCTGTTTCAGTCCATATACTATTCGTTACCTCTCAAGATTTTTGGTAAGCAATTATTTTAACTTTACTCTTTGTATTTGTCAGTGTTTTGGGCACAGGTTGTTGTACTACTGTCAAAAGGTACTTGCTGTTTTTCTGCAAGTACTAAAAACAAACCAACCCCCCCCCGCCCTCAATAAAGTGATTGTTAAATATTGTACAAATAAAAATGTATACTCTTTCTCCCCTATTCCCCTCAAAAGTTAAAATAAAAAATGTGACTACTCTGACTTGCATACGCCTTTTTTGAATCTGTAACGCCGTGGGAGGAGCGACGTGGCTCTTTGTCCAGCTGCAGGGCAAGTGTTGTGGCAAATGAAACCAGAAGGGAAGGAGCTCGCAGTTTAAACATGGTAGGGAAACAGAGGCAGAACCTGCATCATCTCCAGCATTTGATGGAAAATTCTTCCCCTCTCTGTCCTTCCCTCCATCTGAACCCATACTTCGGAGTCCCGCACGTGTGCCTAGCAGCGCTTCAAGGCAGGTGAGACATCGTTTCTGAGGTGAGCACCCAGGCAACGCCGCGAGGACACCAGAGAATGGCTCGGGTGGCACTTTGGTGATTCCGCACAGGGTGTTCCTGTTCCTGAGGCCGGTGGGGCCCAAGCTGCAGCACAGGCTGCCCCTTCCTTTGGCCTGGGTGGGCAAAGCAGCTGCATCTGAGGAGCAGCCCTGCCTGACCGGGTAGGGGAGCGTGGGGGCTCCCTTCTAGGCTGGTTTGAGGCAGGTTAGTGTGCTTTTGTTCTTTATCTCAAACCCAGTCATCTCCCTTCCTTTGGAAAGTGTTAAACTGTATCAACCAGGTCTTTACAAAACTGTTAAAATCACTATTTTTTTTTTCCAGCTTGCCAAACGCTGCGAGGTTCTGGTATCACAGCCTGCGAGGTAAGGGTGTTTTCCAGAGCACTGGGACTGTTATCCCTGCTCACCCCGGTCCAGTTACTAAATCAGAGGATGTGAGAAGAGCAGGGATGAGGGGAGCTGCTGCACTAGTTGATGTAATGGCCCCTGCTGCTGTGCAGAGCCTGATGTCAGTGTTCCTGAGCTGCCTCAGCTCATGCAGTCAGGCACCAAACTCCCATAAAAATAAAACTCTCTCTCAAATGAAACACGGGCATCCTCTTCTAATCGAATCATTCCCACCCCTGCTCAGCGAGCAGTGGGTAACCCCTTCCTTCCCTTTTTAGAAAACCACCTTGAATTACATGAGCTACGCTGAACCATGGTTTGTGTTGGCTGCAGAGATTCTTACAACAGGTCTTAAAGCCTGCAGTAGCATCATGGAGGTTGAGCCATCTCTTGCAGGCATTAGATTCTAAAGTGAGGAGAATCCTGTTACTCATTTTGCTGCGTTTCAGCTCACTGCTCTTCAGGGTGTGTGGTGGTGTGGGCAGTGTCTTTATGAAGCAGCAGAGAGTAAAATAACCCTTTGACCACACTGACAGGCTTCTGAGGAAAAGCAGAGCAAAGCGAGCCCAAGTGTGAAAAATATCACTGAAATCTCTTCTGCTTTTTGACACACAAACCCAACATGACAGCGTGTGGGCTTCAACTTGGGCTTTAGTCAGGAAAGCAAAACCTCCTCAGCCCTTTGCACCACCGCAGGACAGGAGGGCTTCACAACCCAAGTCACACCCTTCTGGTTGTACCCTGACCCTTCCTTCATGTCCTGGTACCAACCCAGCAGCACTGTCTCCCCAGAAAGGAGCACGCTGCGATACGTGGTGAGCTCAGAAGGTTCAGTGCAAGCCTCACAGCTGCTGGGGGCAGCACCACCCTAAAGCAGCCTCTGCCTGAGATTAAGAAACCCCAAAGAGCTTTGACTTCTGCACCGGGGGATGTGTAGTTCAGCTTAAAACACAAAATCCCAAGTGGATCAGCAAAGCAAGCTTTCTCCAAAAATTTATTAAAGTGAGCACCCTGCTGTGGGTAAACATTACATCTTCTGGAGTTCACAGCGCGCTCCAAAAGGTTGGATGCAGAAAGGGACAGCCCAAGCCTGTTCAGCTCACAGCCAGCTGAGGGATGACGCCGCCCACTGCTTCACGTCCGTTGGGCAGTTGGGGTACGCCTGCAGCGCATCCATGATCTGCTTATTGTCCAAAAGCAGTTTCATGAGGAGGTATTCTCTCTGAGTACATACAGCTGGCCTTTCTATTGGTTTTACAAATTCCAGTTGTAGTAAGTGTTCAAATGCCTAAAAAGGAAAAGAAAATAAAAATCAGGAAACAGAAGATGACGTCATTCCTGACTGTTTGCTCATTACGAATGTCCTGCGAGGCACTGCTTTGAAAGAAAACCGTGATGCGTAATCCCAACAGCCAGCCACTAAAAGCCAGCTCAGTTCTACCTTTGCTCTTCTTCAAGAAGTAGTATCTGAAATCTGGTGCAGGTGTCACTGACTGGGAACAACTTTATTATTCAGGGAAACAACCTGGAATATTCTATGACAAGGGCACAGATGGTAATTTCCACTTCAGGTGTAACTGCATAACGTTAAATCAGAAACCACGGCTGCTCAGTATAAAACTTGTGAGACTGGACAACAGCTCAGGACCAGCAGTTCAGCGGCTGGTGCGAGGGTACAGCAGGATCAGGGCCCAGGAGCAGAGCCTGGCAAAACGCTGTTGGTGGAGCAACAGCCCAGGAGGCCAGTGAGCACCGGGTTTGCAACCAGAACACTGGGGTTTGAGATGGTAAGATCAGTTTCAGGTTTGGAGACACCACTCCTGAACAAAACACACCGAAGATGCCCACAGGCATACACAACCCTCTCCTTGGGACCCCATTTCTGGTAGAGTCATTCTTGCTGAAGCCCAGGCCTAAGTCAGCAAAGCTCACCTGACAGAGTCCTTGCACCGGTGCTGATCTCTCCTGAGTGTAACTTCACCCACCTGGAGCTGCCTGCCCCCGGCGCTACCCAAACCCAGCACCCCCAGTGCCTGCTCCGAGAGGAAGCCCTGAAGAACCCAGTATCGGTTCTAGGGCTGAGAGAGAAAAATCATTGGGAGCTGATGACAAAAACCCATCGTCTAAATACTTGACAATGAAAAAAATAAATTATACTTCAGGCTTACCTTCATGACAACCGGCTTTTCAAAGTTGTACATACAGTGCGCCTTCCTCTGTACGAACTTCTGGAATTCTGTATCAGCAACAGGAAACAAAAGAGTCAGTCAGTAGGGGAAAAGTAAGTGATTTAGTATTGGTGAAGTTGATACATCTCTCTCACCATTGTAAACCATCTGGAAGTTAAATGGTTCTCCTTCATAAACATCATTCAGGTGTTTCATAGCTATAATTAGGCAGATTTCCAGGACAGACAAACCTAGAGGGAAAGACAAGAGCTCTAAATACTTCTCTGAAGCGTCTCAGAAAGACAAGCAGTTCACATACTATTTTTATTCCTCTGTATTTGTAAGCGGTAGGCCTCACTTACGTGTGTCTGCAGCTTTATAAAATTAAAAAAAAATATAATCAAAAATTGGAGGGGCGAGGTAAGAGAACATTTGTTTTCCATATTTTTGAAACCAGCATTATAAGAAATGGACTGCTTCCACCAAAAACCAGGAAAAAAGTATATGGAAAACCCATACGGCAGCTTGTATGGCATGACACAGAATTTTTAATGGCACCAAGCCACTTGCCCTGCTACTGCACAGCACCTCATGAAATGAGAGTTTGAGGAGGTTATTCGCTATTCAAGGCTAAAGAAGTGACACAGCAGATTAGCTCCATGGTCCTAAGGAGATGTGAGAATCACAGAGCCAAACAAAACCAAAGCCTGTAACATCTGGGAGCCACAAAGCAGCGATGGGGTAAGTTAACTTCCCCCAATTGGGAAACAATTCCTCCCATGACTGTGTGTAGGCTCAGCATCCTCACCAGGAGATGGTGATTTCTTTGACAACCTGTGCAAACCGTGAGAACCGAAGCGCAGTGCTTTGTACATCCCTGCTGCTGGGGTCTGGAGAGGGAGAAGCCCCAGACCTGCACACACCCCCCGACCCGCTGGAGACATCAGTGCAGCTCTAATGGCGCTCGGTTACAGGTAAGCGCGTGCCCTTGCACTTCCAAGAGCACGGATTTCGAGTGTGCACTCTGATTCTGCGCATATCCGAGCACAGGCTGTTGCAGGTCTCAGAGGGTTTATTGTACCAGCTCCTGGGCACAGCATCTGCAGCAGCATCCCCCGGGTCCCAGCTCGAGCAGGACTCAGCCTCTTCCCTCCCTGCACCACTCGCCAGGGACAGGGATGCTGCCCGGGCCTGTTCCTCCCGCCAGGCTGCCACTGCAGCGCCCCACGAGCTGCTCTCCTGCATCCCGAGCTCCCATCTAGCAGGATTTATATGAACTGTCCTGTAATTCCTTCTCTGGTTCATTCAGCGTCGTTAGTGCCACGTGCGTGTACGAACGCTAATTAGCAGGGGGCAGCCTCCACAGGCAGAGGTATTTCCTGCGTGGCTCATGCCAGCAGGACTGCTGCCCTGTGCAGGATCTCTTGCATCAGAATTATTCCAGGGAGTGACCTGACACATTCCATACTCCTAAGAAACATTTGAGGTGAAAGAGCAGAGCTTTACCGTGTACAATATTTGCTTTTGAGTCCGTTCTGTACTGCTTGCTTGCCTCATGGAGGTCTGATGCAGTGATCAGTGAGTGATGCACGGTAACTTTACTTACAGCAAGCATCTAAAAATAAAGCAGAAGACATTTTTCATTTAATTACTAATTACCAGACACACTTTCTGCTTGGAGATGGAATATAGAAGAATACATTTCCCCTGGAGTCACCTACTGGAAACATTAATGAATACACCCTACACACAGAGTAGGC